AGAGATAATGACCCAGAATGAGCTGCACCACTGTCCCCATTGAGCAGGAAATCCCCACGCAGCCACTTCCTGTCTCACGTATGGTGAAACACGGTGAAAACACAGTGACCAGAAGCCACAAGCCCACGGTCATTCTGCAGAAACAGCTAACATATTAAATATGGGTGCAGAGCGCATCTCTATGAAAACTGGGCCGCCTGAAGTGAAGAACAAACGCTTCAGTTCACACGCCTCATCCTACAGATGCTCTTTTGTGTCCCTCATTGATGTGTGTAAACAATGACTGTGATATCCAGCACCACTTTTAGTATGGGCACATTTTAATCCACAAAAATCCAGTAAATATTGTATTGTTTTTTCCTTTATGACAGCGTCTTTTTTAGCCTGTCATGTGCAAACATCTTTGCAAACATGCACAATTTGATAAAAACAAAATACATGCAAATAAATGCAATTTTTTATTTTCTCTATATATCTTTTATGATTTTAGTTGATACATTTTATTCATAAAAAATACTTTTTTTTTTTCAGATTACACTTCAGCCCTTATACACCTTTGTAGAGAGTTAAACTATTTACTTTCATGTTAAAATAAAACCACTTCTATACATCTCTGTATAGAGTTAAAGGGTTAGTTCACCCAAAAATGAAAATTCTGTCATTAATTACTCACCCTCGTGTTGTTCCAAACCCGTGGTAGTAAGGACATAATTAAAATATTCCACATATTCAACTGTAAAGCTACGAAGCTACGAGAATACTTTTTTGCACAAAGAAAACAAAAAAGTGACATCATTACCGCCACACGCTCGCGTCATGATACAGTGACACAGTAGAGACGAAAATGTGGAATAAAGTCGTTATTTTTGTTTTCTTTGCACAAAAAAGCGGTTTACTTAAAAAAATAAAATAAAAATATATTAAAATACAATAAAATTAAACCATTTCTATACATCTCTGTACAGATTTAAGCAGCTTATTTAATAAAAATAAAAAATCTGTAAAATACAGTAAAATAAAAATAAAATAAAACATCTATACATTTCTGTACAGAGTTAAGCTGTTTTTTATTTTAAAATAAAATAATATATAAAATAAAATAAAATAAATAAAACCATTCCTAAACACCTTCGTACAGTTAAACTATTTATTAGAATGTAAATAAAATAAAATAAAATAATACCTATCTCACAAGCTACTATTGTATAAATATAAGCATTAAAAATATTTCTAATAAGAATCTTAAACTTCAAAAATTTCATTTTCATATATATTCAGAAATGTACTTCTAATAACTTCTAAAAAATGTGTAAAAAATGTATTTATTTATTAAATTTCCGTTTTAAACAATCCGTTTGATTGAATATACCTGTATCCCAGCGGGAATGTCATAGACGATGCGGATAGTCTTTGTATCGGAGCATCCAGGTAGAGAATGAGGAATCACGTGGTACTCCATCTTCCCAGGAGGCTGTGTGCCGGTTTTCTCCCCGTAGATGGCCTTACAGGTGGGACACTGCAGACTGCCGTCCTGAGACCAACATCAGCCACATTAAACACAACAACAACAACGAGGAAAACTCAGGAGAGCTCGTGATGCAGCATTCAGAGGCATCAGAGACGTGCAGCACAATCGCACCAATATTTCTGTTCATGTTTCATGCTTTGATGCATTTCATTAAAGATGAGCAAATAATGCAATACTGACACTTATTATTGAACTCTATCCACAGGTATATTTTTTACCCATGATTCATTTATAATATAGTTGTTTTTTTCCCCTGTAGCTCAAACATTGGCGCTTGGCGCTTGCAACACCAAAGTCATGGGTTCAATTCCCAGTGAAAGCAAGAACTGATTAAAAAAATTTAAGTGCACTTTGAATGCAATGAAAGTTGCTTTGGATAAAAGCATCTGGCAAATTAATTAATGTAAATGTGTTTGGGACAGTTTGACCACATTCAACTTTCAAACAGCTTGAAACACTGGTAAAACTATTTATTTCTTCCTGAAATTTGGTGGATATTTATCATTTAGGCTCATGAATGTGCATGCAAAGTTTCAACACATAGATGTGTTTTGGAAAGGATGAACACATTTTGTTCCAACATTGGTTTCCATGCAATTTGGCAAAAAGCAACACTTTGAAAAACACTAAAGAATCAGGGAAAAACAGAAAACCTTGATTGTAGCTTGTCAAACACTAAAATATGAAATACATGAGAACTTATGAAATTTAAGGCTCAAAGTTTACTTGAAATTGTCAAGACTTGTCTTCTGAATAGTCCAAGAAAAATCACAGTTTCTTTATCAAAAACTCTGACAAAGGCTGTTTTTGGCTGTTAGTTTTTTGGATCTAAATTACTAGATTGTTGCAGCACTGAAAATAAGTGTGAGAAACCCATTTCACGGCCCAAGCAAAAATGTAAATGGCAAAACGGCAACTGTGTTCACTGATGAGGATTTCTGGAGGTGTTTCTGAGCCCATGCAGTTATTTACATTACAGAATAATGCCAGTTTTTAACGCAGTCCCGCCTGATGACCCAAAGATCACGGGCATCCAGTATTGATTTTCACCCTTGTCCCTTGTGCACAGAGATCCTGGTGATATTATGCACTAGTGATGTCTGATTCTTGAACGAATTGTTCTTTTGAGCCGGTTCTCAGGGAGTAACCGGTCGAGCCGGTTCTCAAATCGAACTGAATCGAACTTTAGTTCCGGGTTGTTGATGCAAGATGCACAGCCAAAGTAGCACGTTCGGCTCGAAAAGAACCGAATGAGCCGGTTCAACCAACTGTCGAAGTTTGCCAAAGATTACAGAGGATTCTGACAAGCGAGTTGCTGACATTACTCACATGTGTGCGTATCACCGAGGACTTGATGCACAATGCAAGTTTCTTAAATAATAAACAAAATGTACTGGAAATATGGCTATGAGTAGTTTTATTAAATAGGCCTACATTTTTATTAAAACATGGAAAAACCTGAAATTTACAGTTTAATGCGCATGCAGATTATATTTTAAGTTGTTAAGCTAAATCAATGAGTTTACAAAACTGGTTTATTCTTTCTATATACTTTAGACATGCAGAACATATCCGCGTTTGTGCATCACTGTCTCTAACGTGCTGTAGGTGCGAAACATTTACTAAACTTATCCAAGATGCAGGCTACTATATATGGTCTGAAACTATGACCACAGATATCAATTAAGTGAATGTAAGGCAATAATTAGCAATCCATTCACACAAATAACTTTACGTGAATGATATAACATGACACCGAGTTGTTAGAAAACAAATGCATGGTGACATCACTGCGTGATGACTTAAGGAACGATTAATCGGTTTTCTGAACTGGTTCATTGGGCCAAACTGAACGAAAAAAACGGTTTGCCGAATTGAATTGGACTTTGCATCACTATTTTGTACTTTAGATTAGAGCCTGACCGATATGGGTTTTTGGGGCCCGATGCCGATACCAATATTAGGGAGTAAAAAAGTCAGATGACAAATTCCATGAAATTCCGCATTTTCATGACTGGATTCCGTCCGCGTTTTCTGCATCGTGGAAATCATAGGGCCCTACTAATGTAGCAAACAAGTATGATAAGCTCATTGTAAGAGTAAAAGATGGGGACATTGTTTATTTATTTTATAGCATTGCATCTCACCAACTAGGTGACAACGTAGCGTTAAATCACCATTCAACAGACTCAAGCCACCACCGCACTGCCGTCTACTGGACTGCAGAACGATAATAACTTTTCAATTTGCTACGATTGCACGCTTTCTTGAGCAACTGCACGCGATCGCAGATTGCACGCTTGCCACCTGAAACATCTGGTGGACAAACTAAGTACTTACACCATTTACAAGCATTTTATCTGCATTATATTTTCTGTAAAAAAAATTTCATATCTGCAGCATATACAGCGATGCAGATATATCTGTGACAGGCTCATATCGACCGATAAAATCGGCAAAACAATAAATCGGTCGGGCTCTACTGTAGATGAAGAGAGATTCAATTTTATGAGATATTCAATTATTGCAATTTTACGTTGAGGGACATTATTCTGGAATCGTTCCACAATTTGTAGATTCAGTTTTTCGCAGATTGGTGAACCTCTGCCTCTCTAAAGGCCAAAGTATAGTTTGTTTTTTACACATACGTGAGGGTCCACATAAAGTGCGAGTGAGGCAAATTTTGTCACCAGAATATTACGAGTGTACTGTACGCACACCATCCGATTTTTGTAATCGCGCACACTTTGTACGCGCAGGTCGCAGATGCACATTGACTTGGTTCTGCACTAATCAGTTGTTCCACAAGGTGGCAGCACTGGCCTGAGCTGCCGTTTCACAGTAGAAAACAAAACTTAAGAGACGGAACAACAACAAAATAGCAGAGTCTGCAACAACAGACGCCTTCATTGACAAGTGCACTTGTGTCAGAGGCTTATAAGAGAGCAGCAACTTTTGTTTAAAAGAGTACAACAAATTTTTAGAGGTTATAACTATAGAAAAATACAGCAAACCAGGGTCAGAAGTTAACTTTTCCATTAAGGGGTCATTTTTGCCCCCTGGAATTGATTTTCTGGGGCATTTTTTACATTCATGAGGGCAATTTTTACATTCATGAGGGCAATTTTTATTACCACCTTAATAATTGTATCTGTGTTGTTTTGAATGTCACAACACTTATATATTGTTGCTCTTTTGTTGTTTTGATCGCTTCTATTGCCCTCATTTGTAAGTCATTTTGGATAAAAGTGTCTCCTTAATTAAATGTAAATGCAAATACTTGAATTTAACCAATAACTTAAATCAATCAAAATACTTAAATTGTTGCCAATAACAGTTGACTGTAAAATTGTCTCTAAATTATATGTTTAAAAACAGGAGCTAATCTGGCTGCAATATTATGACAAAAATCGTTATTTTTGATTATTGCTCTTGATATTGTAATAATGATTATTAATGTTGATTAAAAGAATAAAAATGTTTTTGTTTTGTGTCTACGTTTTGGGGAAATGGCTTTAATTCTGGCTCTGGCTTCAGAGACAAACATGTCTAGTCTAGTCTAGCGCAAGTTATGCAAAAACTCCCGTTATAATCACTGAAGCTACGAAATTAATCTTTTATTTACATCATATCTGTACTGTGTTGTTTATGATGAGGGAATTCACGAGCGCGAAGAATTCAATCAGTGAGCGTGCACACTCAACAGCAACTCCGGTGTTTTCAGCACTGACTAATCTAAGCGTCTCTGATTGGCCATTGCATTCCTAAGCTCAACGGAAACACATGTGATTGGTTATAAGGCTCAACGCTGCAAAAACCCAAAGCGTAGAAAGCAATCTGATGCAGTGTGAGCGAATCAAAATGTAATTGCGCGAATAGACACTTTTCATTCATTTCTACTTAATCGCGACAGCTGTAATCGATTGTTTAATTGCACAGGGGCAATTTTTGCCCCTTTATCTTAAATTTGTGGGGCATTTTTGTTTATTTTGGTGGCATTTTTGCCACAAGCCCCCGTTCATTTCTGAGCCTGCATCAGACGCTGGACAAAGATGAAGCTTTCTAGAGCTCATGTGTCGACTGCCTGCGTTCACGCACGCCATCATATGGACTATACTTTGAAAGGCTACGCGTACAAAAATGAAGTATACTTTGGGCTTAAGATACTCTTTTTATACCCAATCATGTTACTGACCTGTTGCCAATTAACCTAACCTAATTTTTTTTTAAGTTTTGCGGCGTTCAAATTACATTTTTTCCTTAAAGGGATAGTTCACCCAAAAATGAAAATTAGCCCATGATTTACTCACCCTCAAGCCATCATAGGTGTATCTGACTTTCTTCTTTCAGACGAATCCAATCAGAGTTATATTAAAAATTGTCCTGGCTCTTCCAAGCTTTATAATGGCAGTGAATGGGTGTTTCTTGTCAATAGTCCAAAAGAAGTCCAATAAAGCGCATCCATCCGTAATAAAAAGTGCCTCACATGGCTCCGGGCGGTGAATAAAGGCCTCCTGTAGCGAATCGATGCGCTCTTGTAAAAAACATATCCATATTTGAAACGATTTTTATAACCACTTTTCTGTAGGTTGTTGTGTAGGTTTAGCACATGCGCCGGTGAGAATAGGCTAGTCTTGCGAAAACCAACGTTTTCAACGTAGGAGCAAAGGAAGCAAAATTTCCTTACTTTAGCAAAGAAAAACCAGTCTCCTCTTGGCTTATATCGAAATCCTCCGACATTTGTCTTTACAAATCCTCATTTTGTACTTTTAATTCGTGACCGGTGTTTTGTTTTGCTCTCTCCCTACGTCATCCGCCGGAATGAATGGGCATACGACAGTTAGCGCAAGCTAGAGATTACTGTTTATAACATTTTAAATATGGATATGTTTCTTACAAAAACACAATGATTCGCTACAGGAGGCCTTTATTCACCCCCCAGAGCAGTGTGGGACACTTTTAATGATGGATGGATGAGCTTTATTTGACTTCTTTTGGACTATTGAAAAAAAACACCCATTCACTGCCATTATAAAGCTTGGAAGAGCCAGGACAATTTTTAATATAACTCAGATTGGATTCGTCTGAAAGAAGAAAGTCATATACACCTAGGATGGCTTAAGGGTGAGTAAATCATGGGCTAATTTTCATTCATCCCTTTAAAATGGTACATGTCCTCAGTTTATATATTTGATGTTTTCTATGTTCTACTGTGAATAAAATATGGGTTTATGAGATTTGCAAATCATCGCATTCTGTTTTTATTTACATTTTATTCATGCTTTTTTTATTGGTTTTAATTTTAGTTAACTATAATAACTCTGTAGATGTTTTCTGCTTTTTGGAAACCAATGTGGGTCAACTTCGCAACTCAATATTAGTACCAGTTTTTTAACACAACAGGAGTGTTTCAAATCCCATTATTTGTTGTATAAATAAATTGTCAGTGTATTGTGATGACTGATCTTGAATCTGGTTGGTTTGTTTAAAATCCTCCCTTATGTACAATAAAACAAACTGATATGACACAGTCTTCGTGTCATGTTCTGACCTTATTGCCATTTTTGTACATGGCCACCAGACACAGAAGATGGTACATGTGGCCGCACTTTCCCAGTTTGCCGACCAGCTCGGGCTTGATGCCTTTGTAGCTCAGCACTCCCTCGTATCCGGACGCTGTGGCCAGTCGCTCCATGCAGATGGTGCAGTCCTGACGGATATCAACAGTGAGTAACACTGACAGACATCTGCTGCCTCAGTCATTAGCTCTGCTAGTAAACAACACAACGCTCGGCTGGTCACATGACGCTAATCAATCACATGTGTGCAGGAATCACCTCATCGGGAGCCGTTTTGATTTTCTCTGTGTAGCGCCGAACCACATCCTCTGGATTTTTACCTGGAAAAAGAGACAAAACGAACATTGATTTAGATCCGAATCACACAGAAAGTGATCTCTAGTCATGCATTAGTGTGGAACTTAATTTTAACAACTCTTCCTTAAACCATACTTAATGTATGCTTTTTTTGTTATAATCATTCATACTTAGCTTACTTGCATGTTAAAAAATAAAATTAAAAATAAAACCATTTCTATACACATTTGTACAGAGTTACGCTGTTTACTTGAATGTTAATTAAATAAAAGAAAATAAAAATTAAGGAAAATCATTTCTATACATCTTTTTACAGTTAAGCTGTTTCCTTGAATGTAAATAAAATAAAATGAAATAAAATAATAAAAAATAAAAATTTCTATACACATCTGTAGAGTTAAGCTGTTCCTTTGAATGTTAATTTAATAAAAGAAAAGAAAAATAAAGGAAAATTATTTATATACACCTTTGTACAGAGTTAAGCTGTTTACTTGAATGTAAATAAAATTAAATAAAATATACAAAAATAACAAATAAAATAAAATATACACAAATAAAATAAAACCATTTATATACACCTTTGTACAGAGTTAAGCTGTTTACTTGAATGTAAATAACATAAATAAATAAAATAAAACCATTTCTATACACCTTTGTACAGAGTTAAGCTGTTTACTTGAATATAAATAAAATAAAACAAATGAATAAAATAAAACCATTTCTATACACCTTTGTATAGAGTTAAGCTGTTTCCTTGAATATTATTAAAATAAAAGAATAGAAAAAGAAAACAAATCGTTTCTATATACCTTTGTACAGTTAAGCTGTTTACTTCAATGTAAATGAAATAAAATAAAATAAAACAAAATATACAAAAATAAAAAATAAAATAAAAAATACAAAATAAAATATAAAATAAAACCATTTCTATACACCTTTGTACAGAGTTAAGCTGTTTACTTGAATGTAAATAAAATAAAATGAAATATGCAAAAATAAAATAAAATGTACAAAAACAACATTTCTTTACACCTTTGTTTAAAGTTAAGCTGTTTACTTGAATGTAAATTAAATAAAATTAAATAAAAAGAAAATACAAAAAAATTAAATATACAAAAATAAAATTAAAAAAAACAATTTCTATACACTTTTGTACAGGATTACTCTGTTTACCTTGATGTAAATAAAATAAAATAAAAAATAATAAATAAAATAAAATAAAAAGAGAGCAAGATATACAGATACATGTCCCTGGTTTGGCTTTTACTAAGAAATATAAGATTGCAGACAGAAGCTGGTTTGTTTATTAAACTCCATATGACTGGAAAAGCACATAAGACAAATCCCAGATTTTAAAGCTCTTAATTTTCTACACCACTAGCATTAATGCTTTATTTGTAAATCCTTTTTACATTGAATGACGCTAAAGACGCAAATTTAGCTGACAAATGTACTCTTCACAACACAGAGCGCTTCAGTGTTTATTTCTCAAAGCGTCTTTATTCCCGTGACCTTTAGCGCATGAACACACACCTGCTGTCTGGACTTTCAATACACTATTGATTCCTGCTACTTGATTTGTGCAGGAACAGAGGCACAAAAACAAACCTATCAGTACGACGTTAAGCAGATCGATGGTAACACGGTTCAGGTGTTGTAATGTTAGAGGGACCTTGTCACTTTCAGTAGTTGCTCGATTCACACAAAGTCTGTTCTGCTCAGATCAGCAGAAAAGTCAAACAGAGAATCAATCGCTAGACACACACACACACACACACACACACACACACACACACACACAGACAGACAGACACTCACCTTTGCGGAGGTGCTTTTTCTTAGTCTTGCGTCGGATGCTGTTGATTCCAGGCACGGGTTTCAGGTCACTCTTGCTGACCGACGGTGGATGGAGGATCGGTTTAGGGGCCCGAGTCAAACACACGGGGAGCCCGGTGGCACACATGAGGATACCAGTCATTCCTGACCGAAAGACACAAATATGCTCAGGCACCAACAAGGCCAAGGTCATGGGTTCGATTCCCAGGAAATGCATGAACTAATAAACTGTATACCTTGAATGCAATGCAAGTCGCTTTGGATAAAAGCATCTGCCAAATGCATTAATGTAAATGTAATTTATGTCCAAATTTTGCATTGGTACGTACCTGCTACATACATGTTAAAATAAAATAACTGCTATATCTTTGTACACAGTTAAGCTGTTTACTTGCATGTTAAAGTAAAACAAATTAAAACAATTTCTGTACTCCATACAGAGCTTACTAGCATGTTAAAATAAAATAAAATAATTTCTATATACCTATGTAAGAGTTACGCTGCTTACATGCATCTTAACATTTTCTGCACACCTTTGTACAGAGCTAAGCTGTTTACTTGTAAAATCAAATTTATGGTAATTCTTAATCCTAAATTCTTAATTGATGTATTTTTGTAAAAATCATTCTTTGGCACATAGATTACTTGCATGTTAAAAAAAATAAAAATTAAAAAATTAAAAATTAAAAATTAAAAAATAATAAAATTAAATAAAATTAAATAAAATTAAATAAAATTAAATAAAATTAAATAAAATTAAATAAAATTAAATTAAATTAAATTAAATTAAATTAAATTACTGATATACATCTTTGAACACAGTTATGCTGTTTACTTGCATGGTAAAATAAAACAATAAAAAATTATTTCTGTTTACTTGCAAAATAAAATTTATGTTCATTCTTAATTCTAAATTCTTAATTTACGTCTTTTTGTTAAAAATAAATTTGTTGGTACTTAGTTTACTTGCATGTTAAAATATATAAAATAAGATAAAAAATCATTGATATACATCTTTGTACACAGTAAAGCTGTTTACTTGCATGTTAAAATAAAACAAGAAAAACTATTTCTATACACTTTTTACAAAGTTAAACTGTTTACTCACAAAATAAAATGTATGTTAATTCTAAATTATGAATCTATGTAATTTAATCTATGTAATCTATTTAAATTTTTAAATCATTCATTGTTACTTAGTTTACTTGCATATTAAAATAAATAAAACATTTCTTTGTACAGAGTTAAGCTGTGAACACAAAATAAATGTAATTTTTGTCATGCCAGTAAAGTTCTTTACACTGAAGTGAATTTGAGATTGAAGAAACTGGATTTTCTGGTGTAGTACCTGCTAATGCAGGATGGACCAGTCCTGAACCAGTGAGATTCTTCACAGGAAGTGCAGGAACCCTAAATGACAGGAAACAGATATCAGACAGTCAATGATCCACGTGAACTGAAACATTTACAGCTGATATTCTGCAAGAGACCATCCAAATCTCTGATGATGAGAAATGAACATCCCAAAGATCACAACCTTCCTTATCAAACAACCTTATTAATCTCACTTCTGGAGAATCGCATTGTTCACTTAAAACCCTGTTTATTTCAGACCTGAGAGGATCAGCCACTGGATCTGATCAGTGTGAACAAAGTAATGAAACCAGATGATGATGATAATAGATGCAGCATTATAAAACATGATTAGAAAGTGAAACCAGGTGTTTGCTTGTTTTTTGCCTAAAGAAAATGTGATTCTACAATTCAGGGCTATTTATTATAGTATTATAATTTACCAAAAACTCTCATTACTTGAATTAAATCTTAACTGAAATAGTTTAACTTGTATAAAATAACAAAAAATGTAAATATACTGAAATAAAAATGAATAAAAACTATATAGACATATTATTAAAAAAGTAATAAACATGACAAAATGACTAAAATATTAACTAAAATTAAAATGAACAAAATACAATAAAATAAAAAATATATATAATAAAAACTATAATGGTATGTTACTAAAATAGCACTGCTAAGATGATACTGGTGGTTGCCAAGGTGTTGCTATGTGGTTGCTAGGTGCATTAGTGTGCTAATTATTCATGATAAAATAAAATACATTTAAAATAAAAATGTAATAAAACAAAAATTAATCATAATAAATAAATAAATAAAAAATTAGAATAAATAAATAGAAAGAATAATAAAAAAATTATATCATACAAATAAAAAAATATACAAATATCCACTAATAATAAAACAAATAATTAAATAATAATAAAATAAAATAATCATTCATAATTAATAAATAAATAAGCAAATCAATCAATCAAGGACACAGAATGCTAAAATAAAATAAAAAACATTCATAATAAATAATGAAACAAATAATAAATAAATAAATAATTATTTTAAATTAAAAATAATGTACAAAATAATTTCTATACACCTTTTCACAGTTAATCTGTTTGCTTGCATGTTAAACTTAAACAAAATAAAAGCATTTCCATTCACTTTCACACAAAGTTAAGTTGTTTTTGCATGGAGTAAAATAGTGCATCTCTCCTCGATACGGATCAGGAGACGGTCGCGCTCGGCTCGTTTCATGTTGTATCTCTCATATTTCTCTTTCATACATGCAGCAAGTCAAAGCCCTGCTGCTGATCGAGCCGCGTAAGCGACATGAGAGCGAGATCCTACCGTCTGTCCTCGTCTGAGTCTCCATCCGTCTCCATCATCTCTCCTGCTCTCGTTAAACACCAGACACACACAACACAAACTTCCTCTTCTGATCACACACACACACACACACACACACACACATACC